GTAAGAAGAATACTGAACGACAACATAAAATACAGGGTACAATTCTAAAGGGGGTGCAGGAGCAGAGGGACTTCAGTGTACGTGTGCACAGATCATTGAAGGGGATAGGACAGGTAAAGACCGCAGTACGTAAAGCATGCAGTGTCTTTGGGTTTTTAATCCAGAATACAAGAGCAATGAGGTAATGTTGAACTTGGGATAACAAACCTGTTGGACTCAGCTGAAGTATTATGTGCAGTTGTGGGCCCACATTATAGGAAAGGAGTGCGTGCACTGGAAAGTGCAAACCAATTTACAAGAATTGTTCCAGGACATAAAATAAAATCTCGCATCAGTACTCATTCAAAACGCATATCTGCTTTACATTCATGTATGAAAGATGCACAGCATATTTTTTCTCCACCACCTGTTCTGCTACAAATTTTAACATTGTTTTTTCAGATGGCTTTTATTGGAAAGAGGGAACTTCATTCTCAAAACATCTTGACATTTGGATGCATAAAATGTACTGAAAAAACTGGTTTATCTAATGGAAATAGTACCCACGTGTTGAGGCTTCCAGTGACACTACCTCCAGTACGAGCTGTGAAAACTTTACTAAGCATTAGTTGAGGTGGAGACCTGGAGAGAAAATTGAGCAAGATTATTTAGAAAATAACTCAAAGTCAAAGATAACTTTTAACTAAACAAAAGATGAAAATTTCCTTGAACTGTAGAAATGGTAGCACTATTTTTTAAAAACCACGTATATAAATTGCAGTCTCCATGAAGTACTCTGAATACATTGACTGTTTATTCACTTGGGTGACTGAACTTGATAGAGACACCTGAATACACAAAACATTTAATTTTAAAAACTTAAAACCTATTAAAGTTGAAGTACTAAAAGGCGGTGTGAATTACGCTTAAAATTCTGGTATGCAAGAATGTGTGCAATTTTAAGAACAGTTGAGTATTGGTATTATTGCCTCAATTTCTAAATTTTATGGGTGGAAAGTAAAGGATTCAAAATTTCTCAAAAGTTGTAGGAAAGCAGAGAGAACTTCCCCAACCTGCTCCCTACTTGCCCAAAAGGGAGAAAAAGGGAGAAGTCAGACATTTCAGATTAAACCTGCTGAGTTTCTGTTCAGTTTGCAGTTCCCTCTAAATTCCAGGGATAGGCTTGGAACCGATGCTGTGTCAAAAGCGGTGGTCATGTTTGGGTGAGGTTTTGGGCAAATGTAGGAAATTCCATTCAGACGTCCCATCCCCGCCAGTTGAAAACCATCAAGGGTTGCAAAGCTTTCATAGGGTAAGGCAGACCTATCCCAAAGACTGTCAGTTATTTTCCTAAAGCCACCACTTTGTTTCATCAAGAATATGGACAAAGTTTCTTTTTGGGCCTTAACAGGGTTGCTCCTCACTGCCACCGTGAATGGCATCACTCCAATATTCCAATAGATCTGAAGAAAGTCCCTTCTAAGCATACTTGGTGCAACGTACCCAGCTCAGTTAAGCATCGACACCACCCTTGCAATTTGGGAAGGGTTTGGGTAGGCACATGGACAGACAGAGGTTTTACTTTACTTCTAATATTTAAGTGGCACAATATTCTCTGGAACCTTATCCTTAAATGATATGGGGACATGTGAAGTGATAGAGATGCTTAGGACCAATTTTCTCTGGAGTCACATGAAGGGTGTGCTGTAGAGCTAAGTGGAAGTTACAAAAGAAAATTTATCAGAGTGTAGATATTTTAAATCAACCTGCTTAGACACATCATGACACACAAATGGAGCAGATGGTATGTGAATTCAGGCTTTCTGACCCAGAGGTGAGGTCACTCCCACTTCACCACAGGAGCCCCCATGTACATCGAATATGTCTGACTAGTGATCTCTAATCAGCAAATCTGAAACATGGTAACAAGAATTAACTGAGAACCATTGGCTGGAATATACAAATCTTCAATAGTATGAATGAAGGGGCAAATCAAAGTACATATATGTCCTTTATGAAGCCAATTAAATAATCCTAATATGTTATAAAATTGACTCAACTGCGAACATTAGACAAAAACAAAACTTTGGCTGAGCGATTTTTCTACCTGGTAAACCCAGAATTTAATTTTCTTCTTTGAACGTAAAAAAGCTTTAGAAGCTGACAATGCAAATTGGTTAAATAACAAAGATGTTGCAACGTGTTAGAATGCAAAGTCTTCTAACCGTATCTGGTGGATTTTTAATGTGGAACCTTTGTAGCTCATTGCCACAGACCCAAACATCATTTCGCCAAGCATGTTGGCATCAGAGGACGGCCGAGAATTCTGGAAAGGAACAAAAATAAATATCCTGTTATTGATTTGAAGATATCTTAAAAACAGAGACTACTGTCTAATTATTATGTATTAAGTCACGTAAATCAAAATAATGTGCAATTTTAAAAGTCTCATTCTAGGAAACGAAAACACATTTTAACAGATTGGTTTAATTTACAAGTAAATTTTTGCCCATTTCTATCTTTACAAAAAAAAAATTGTGAAAAACACATCACAAGGCACAGGAAAAAAAAAATTCAACCATTAATATATATGGCTGAAACTCTAAGTACCACATTGTTTTATAATAATTGTGGACTGAGTCAGAGCTGTTAATGGGCGTGGGTGTGAGAGTGCAAGACACAGACTTGGGAGGAAGAGGGAGAGCGTGAGAAACAGACACAGACAGAGAGAGAAATGTTCAGCTCTTCCCATGCTTAGGAGCAGTCTCTCTGTATTCTATAGTCAAGACTCACTATAAACCCAAAGACAAGCAGTTACAAGTTGGGAATTTTTAAAATAATAAGTCAGAGATTTTTTTTATTAGGGATCCAGCCATGTCATGTCTCTTAACAACCAGAAAAAGACAACTAAAGCCTTGTACTGGCCAGAAGAGTCATAAGGATCATCTCAACAACAGCACCTAGGAACAAAGACTACTGAACTGTCTTTACGATCTAATTACTTGCAATAAATAGGAATTCTTACTCAGTGCAGAAAGCTGGACCATGCTTTCAAATCGATCTGGGTCTGAAAAGAGTTAGATTTGGGAATTTCACACTTTTTAAAAACCTTTAACTTTCATGATGACTCAGGGACTTGATTTCCAATGTGGTATCCCAGGGAGTCATAAAACGTCAGCGTGCACTACATTCTAAATATTGCAGAAATATCACATGTTGACAGTTTGTTGACTCACGCATTGTTCAAAAAAGAAAACTAGCGCTTCCTCCCAAAACAAGTCAATATCTTTGGAAGTCAGTTGTAAGGAATACCAAAGTCATGTAGACTGCTACTGATGAAGAGAAAAGTGTACTCCGTGCACTCTTGACACACACAGGTCATCATGTGGATCACAGGGATTAGCTTTACTTGTGGGGATTAAGCTGGGAGGGGGGAGGAGGAGGAGAGAGAGAAAAACAAGTACATAGGACCTAAAAGCTAATAATCCCGGTTCTTAACTGAAATGCTAAGTGTAGGTATAAGCTTTTCTCTCCCTATCCAAAAGGAAAGTTTTCTATTTGCTGATGAAACGTATTTAAGTAGATATACTCATACACTTTCGCCTCATGTACTCTGCAGCACTGGTCCACATATTACCATACACACACACACACACACACACACACACACACACACCCATGCGCGCATGTCATTATCTTATATTTTTGCTGTTTTTGTATCAGCACACCAATCTGTATTCACTTTGGCTGGAAGCAGCTTCATCTCAGAAATTAGCTGCTTTTGATATGCATAGATTACCAGTGTATACTAGTTGTCTAGAAAACTTGTTTATATTTTATAATTTTCTAACACCTGTCACAGCAGGTTTTAATGTCGAGGCTTGTTTCTCCATAACTAGCACCAGTGCACCAAAAAACACTAGACTGATTAAAAATAAGATGCTAAATTCCCATTCCCATTTAAAATTTCAATTTGAGAACACATGTACGAAGAGAGGCTCCAAATGTTCATTTCATTGTGCCAGATGTGGTACGAAGGGTCAGTTCTGATGTGGCATTTCAGGCATTTATTGTTTACAATACAGCCCTAATTACACACCTTCACCCCAACCCAAGGAAAATTTCACTCAAGATACGGTCAACATTAGTATCGTCTAAATTGTGATCTAAAACTTTATGATGTTTCTGTAATATTAAAATCAACAGTTTCTAATTTCATGTTGGAACAGATGAAAGCAACTAGATGTCAGTGGTTTAAAATGTTAGCTACCTTGAAATATGCCAATGAAATTTCTTAGGTTATCCGAATTTCTGGCACTTAGAATGCTAGTAAGTTAACTTGACCAGTCATTGCCAAGTATCAAAAGTTATTAGCAAGGATTGTTTTTATCAAAAATGATGTCTGGTGAGTGAACCATGGGGCAGGGTTGCTTTCTCTAGTTCCCACAGGCCCATTTATCAATAGAAATTAATTACCAACATTATAAATGGAGTAATAAAGCTTAAAATATCATCATTCTAGATACAAATGATAGGAGAACATGATGTTGTATTGAGAAATATTTTTCACAATTCAAGTAGGCAAAATTACAAAGCTTCAAATATCCAACAGAATGCTCAGCCGCAATTTCAGTTGACACATCCATGATATATTATCTCAGTCAGCTTAAACTGTCTGAAAACAACTTTTAGCCAGCCTCGAAAAGGACATCTTACAATGATTAATGAATTAAAATTCACCCAATAGAAATTTCAGGTTGCAATCCTCAAAAGGATTAGTTTAGGAGAGACTTAAATGACAGGGTTAAAAGTGCATATATTCGAGCCTTACCTGGCATTTCGAAGACTGATCTTTAGCATTTGGAGCTGAAGAAGATGAAGAAGAGAGGCTGTCTGAAGAACTGGTATATGTATTGCATTTTGTATGACAGCATTTCTCAAGAATCTTCACTTGGATATCATTGCATACTTTCTGCAAATAGAAAGATCGTAAAAGGTTAGCAGTTTTCTGATAGGTCATTTGGAAAAAAAAAAGCAGCAACTGGTAGAAAAGGAAGGAAAATACAAAGTATTATGTCAGAGGGCACAGATTTAAGGTGACTGGAGAAGGAACGGTTTTGCACAACTTAGAGAAAACAATGTGGAAATAAGAAGAGCAGAGAAGTGGAACTACTGGATTGCATTTTTTTTAAGAAAGACACAGCAAAACCAATGGACCAAATGATCTCCTCCTGTGCTGAAGAAACAGAATCCTAGATATTTTTAATTAACCTGTTTAGCAATGTTGAGACTCCAATAGAGCAGACAGGACTCGAACCTGGGTCTTCTGGCTCAAAAGTAAGAACACTACCATTGTGCCATCAGACTCTAGAATCATAATTCTATGATGATCTATCATGTGTAAATGACCATGGTACACCACCTGCATTTGATACTTTAAAAGTAACACTGAATGAACATAATGTCAGAAGATCACATGGCCCACAGTGTATGTCCTGCCACTCAACAGCGTTAAGGTCGATCATGGGTGTCAACTCCACTTTTCTTTCCATTCCCCATATCCCTCGGTTCCCAGAGAAACCAGAGCAATCTGCCAATCTCTGCATTAAATATACCAAATGATGGCACATCCACAATTCTCTGGAGGTAGATAATTCCAAAAATTCTCAACACTAAGTATAGCAATCTCTACAATGGTTGACCAGGGAAGTCAGAGACAGCATAAAAGCAAAAGAGAGCACAGAATGTGAAGATTGGTGAGAAGCCAGAGGATTGGGAAGCCTTTAAAAACTAGCAGAGGGCAACTTAAATAAAAGGAATGAAAGAGAAGATGAATAGGACAGTAAGCTAGCTAGTAATATAAAAGAATTGGTCACTGGCAAGATTTTTAAGAGTCCATTATTAAAGGATGAGATTGATAGTACTAGGAAGTACATGGTAAAATAGGGCTGAGTCAGCACAGCTTCGTCAAAGGTAGGTCATGCCTGACAAATCTGCCAGAGTTGGACAAAGGAGAGCCCGTGGACATAATTTATTTGGATTTCCAGAGGTCTTTGACAAGGTACAACACAGGACGCTGCTAAATAAGATCAAAGACCACGGTGTTAAGGACAAGGTATTGGCATGGATAGAAGATTGACTGATTGGGAAATGGCAGAGAGTAAACATAAAAGGGTATTTTTCAGGATGGCAGCCAATGACTACTGGAATTTCACTGAGTCAGTGTTGGGACTACAATTATTCCTATTCCACATTAATGATCTGGACAAAAGGAACTGACGGCAATGTGGCTAAGTATGCAGTTGGTGCAAAGATAGGTGCAGGGACAGGTAGCATTGAGGAAGCAGGGACACTGCAGAAGGACTTGGACAGGATAGGTGTGGGCAAAGAAGTGGCAGTTAGAATACAATGAAGGAAAACGTGAGCCTAGGAAGAATGTTAGTGTAGACTATTTTCTAAATGAGGAAAGTCTTCAGAAATCTGAAGCTCAAAAGGGTCTTGGGAGTCCTAGTTCAGATTCTCTTAATGTTAAGATACAGGTTTAGTTGGCTGTTAGGAAGTCAAATGCAATGTTAACATTCATTTCAAGAGGGCTAGAATACAGAGCAAAAATGTACCGCTGAGGCTGTACAAGACTCTGGCTCATCTGGAATATTGTGAGAAGGTTTGGGCCCCGTATCTAGGCAAGGGTGTGCTGGCATTGGAGGGGGCACACAGGAGGTTTACAAGAACAATCCCGGGAATGAAGGACTTGTCATATGGTGTGCATTCTGAAGAAGGGTCTAGGCCCGAAACGTCAGCCTTCCTGCTCCTCTGATGCTGCTTGGCCTGCTTTGTTCATCCAGCTCTACACCTTGTTGTCTCAGATTCCCCAGCATCTGCAGTTCCTACTAGTTCTAAAAGAACATGGGCAACTTTTTTCTTTTTACACAGTGTGGTTCGTGTGTGGAATGGAGTGCCAGAGGAAGTGCTGGATGCAGATACAGTTACAACATTTAAAAGATATTTGGATAAGTACATGAATAGAAAACGTTTGGAGAGATATGGGCTAAATGCAGGCAACTGGGACTACTTTAGTTTGGGAACATGATCAGCAGGGACTACTTGGACCAAAGGGTCTGTTTCCATGCTTAGTGTCTCGATGACTCTATAATACCGATAGCCTGGATAGAGTGGCCGTGGAAAAGATGTTTCCACCAGTAAGAGACACTAGGGCACAAAAGCCACAGCCTCAGATTGAAGGGACTACCCTTTAGATAAGGGGTGTTTCTTCAGCCAGAGGATGGTGAATCGATGGAACCCATTGCTGTAGAAGGCCGTTGAAGCCAAATCATTGAGTGTATACAAAACAGAGATACTTAGGTTCTTGATTAGTAAAGGGATCAAGGGTGTCTGGGAGAGGGCAGGAGAATGGGGGTGGGGGGTTAAGAAACACATCAACCATGATCAAATGGCAGAGCAGACTCGATGGACTGAATGGCCTAATTCTGCTCCTATGTTACGGTCTATGGTCGACCGTCAATCCCACATGATCACACCCTTCTCCCTCACCACGCTTTATCCTGAAACTTTGCTCCCTCATTCTAGATTGCTTAGCCGTGTAAATAACCATTTTTGTATCTACCCTGCCAAGCCCCTTCAAGTTCTTGAATGTTTCAATGAGATCACATACGATTCTAAATTCCAGAGAATATGGACCCAATTACTCAGCCTTCATCATTGAAAAATCCTGTCATCCAAGGACCAGCCAACTGAACCTTCACTGTACTACCTCGAAAGCAAAGATAAGCCTCCTTAAATGTGGAAACCAAAACTGCACAGTATTTCAGGCAATAGCCTCCCAATCCACAACTGCAGCAAGACCTCCCTATTCATGTCTTCCATCCCTTTTGCAACAATAATCAAAATGCCATTTGATTTTCTAATTGCTTGTTGTGTTTGCATGTTAACTTTTTGTGCTTTGAGTAGGCATACACTGAAAATTCACTGAATGTCAACATTTACAAGTTTAATACTTTGCAGAAAAAAATTCTGCTCTCCTATTTTTATAACTAAAATCTGCTGCCTCACACTTCTCCACCTGCCATCTTATAGCCCACTCATTTTAATTGTCTACATGTCTTTTCAGGCTCTGTTTTCCTCACAGCTTACATTCCCATCTAGTATCTTCAGCATATCGAGATGCAGTGCCTTTGCACAAGTCAGGAAAAAGCCAACTGCTTTGCATGGTGGAGCCAGATTTCAATTTTTCTCACTCTCGGTGAAGCCAGTGAACAAATTTCAGAAAAGTAACGGCTGCCACAACAGTAAACGTGAACTCCATCAACAAATAATTTAAAAGCAAAAAAAAAATTATTAAATGGGCCATTAGTAGAAATGACCATTAAAAAGCACCAAGGAGAAATCTTAATAATAATGCTAATTTGCACTTTTTGGGTTAAGAACCAAAGCTAGAGAGAAAAAGAATCAGCCCCAATTTATGCTCACTGGGGAATTGGTGGCATTTGGCAGAATTAAGGAGCTGGGTTTAGCTAACATGGAACTTGGGTCACCTCTGATGGGGCACGTGCTCATCTGGCCTTAACGGAATTCACACAAAAATGGCTATTGGAAGCGAGGGGACTTTCAGCCTCTCATGGTCTGCTTTTTCTCTTTCCCTCTCCCTCAATCTTATCCATCTCCCTCTTTCTCTCTCATCCTCTTATTGTCTGTCTTACTCTGTCGCCTTTAATTTCAAAGAAAATAATCCATGGCCTTTGTGCTCCAAAAAGATTTCTACTGGCACTATTACCCCACCTCACAAAGAGATTTGAATGAGGTTTAGTAAAAGGCAATTTCTTTGCTAAAAGTACAAGACTGAAAGTGACCCAGCAGCCTTACTACCATCCCCACTCCTTTCAGGGTCACCAGTAAAGCTGTAGGAAAACACACAGGAGAGGAAGGGCCTTTGATTGGAGGAGCAGCTCTTTGCAAATCATCGACTTAAATACTTAACTGCATTTGAAACTTTGGCTCCAAATAATTTTACTTTAGCCACTCTCTGTCTTTTTTCATACACGATATAGGTTTTATAATTTGCTTTTATGCTCTTGACTCCAAAACACTCAATTCAGAAAAATGAGAGACAAGGTTTAGAGCTAAATGAACACAGTGGGCCAAGCAGCATCAGAGGACCTTCATATTCTGAAGAAGGGTCCAGACGTGGGGTGTCAGCTTTCCTGCTCCTCTGATGTTGCTTGGCCTGCTGTGTTCATCCAGCTCTACACCTTGTTGTCTCAGATTCTCCAGCATCGGCAGTTCCTACTCAATTCAGAAGAATGTTCTTTTAATCTAATATTAATCTCCTTAGTAAGTCACAGATGGATCTTTCTCACTAGTTTTATTTTTCACTGGAATATATTTTTGTTGGGCAAATTTTTTACCTCCACAATTTATTTACCAGCATACTGCCTAGTTTCTTTACTAACCCAACCTTAGCCAGCAATTCTAACCCATAACTACGAAATTGGTTTTGTTTAAATCAAATAATCTCGATGGTTTAGACAATGTCTTTCACAAACACAAAGTGGAATTTGATTCTATTATCATCACTATTTTCAAGCGGCTCTATTACAATAGAATTACTACCTGACCCTGTCTCATTGTACAATACTAGATCCCAACCCGAAATGTCAGCTTTCCTGTTCTTCTGATGCTGCCTGGCCTGCTGTGTTCCTCCTGCACCACACTGTTATTATCCATAGTTGGTTCTGTATCATATTGTCCCAGGAAACTTTGAAAACCACACTGAACAGATATACATTTCTTGTCCATGGACCATACAGAAAAGGCCTTCAGAATTCTCTTCCCCCACTTAAGTCTTCTCAAAGATGGTATCCAGTGAGTAGGAGCAGAAATCAACATAACTCTTCCTCCAATAGTGCTGACCCAAAAATAAAATCGACTAGAAATCAGCACACCAATTCCCCATCT